AGCCAATGATGTTTATAAGGCTAACACCCTTGTACCACCACTCATGTAAGTGAATAGGGCTTTGCTGCCATGGTTATGCTTTATTTATTCTTCTTGAGACTCTTGTAGCACTTTGAGGGATCGTCTCAACTACATCTTTACTTGACTCATGCTCCCTTGAGCTGTATCTGTCAGTTACTTGATCTCTTCACTAAGTTTCTGTGTGTTTGTTTTTTTAATTACTCTTTTTATTTATAAAGTTCTGTTTAGTTCTTTGTCACATTTAAAATTTTTTCCCCATATTGCTGTACTCTTAGAGTTATTTTTTTTTCACGCCTTTTATCTTTTACTGCATATTTTCTGGGATCACTATGAGCTGAAATTGACCCAATGGCAGAAGTTTGTAGTCTTTTATAAATTGTTGTATTATTACAAGTAATTCTTCTCTTTGCATGTGTACTAAGTCCAGTTTATTTATTTAGAAAAGTCATTTATTTGGTAAATTTGAGGCTTCAAACTGTTTCTGTGATAGTCCTAGGTAGCTAAGTTGTATCAGTGTCTCTGGTTCTGTCATGTACCCCTTGGGCATCATACTGTTGACACAAGTGTTTCTATGTTCCCAAACCATAGCAGAGGAAAAATTCAGACCATATGTCTACAGGAGGCATAAGCTTGTGATTTGATTTTTGCAAGGAAATATTTGTTTGTTTTGTTTAAAGTTAGGGCCCAGACAAAAACAAATCTGTATTAGGAGTGATTTCATTGTCTGGGCTTCATTTTCTCAGAGAATTTGGTTTTCTTAGGCTCTCAAGTTTACACAGGAGTGAGGATTTCCATGCCACCTAGAAAATCCCGGTTTCCTGGTTACCAACACCTATAAGAACCCATCTTCCCTTCTCTGTGCAGTCAGAGGATGAGGGCCAACACTCACCTGCCTGGCTCGATGCGCCCTCCTCACTGCGGATGTTTTGGGATTCCCCTTTCTTCCTAGTTTGTGTAGTCTTGGTGGGATGGCAATGCAATATTTTCTTCTTCCTTTTAAAACCCAACATTTCTAGGTATTGGTGATGAGGAAATTTTCCCAGAACTAGGAACCTTTTCGGAAACAGGCAGGGAAAAAGAGCCCCCACTTTCAATGATTATTTTATATATAACTCATGAGTTCACCTATCATTAGCAGGTAAGATGAGAACAAAAAGTTGGCAAATAAGGGCTAGAATCAGTCAATTAAGTTAAGTTTTTACTGAGGGAAGAAGAAGAGGTTAGCTGTTGCTTTCTTATTTGGAATTCTATTTAACAAGAAAACCGCCCTCTACCCAGCGCTGCGCCCTCCTCTCTAGGGAAGAGTGCATTGTTCTTAAACAACTGACCGCTGAAGCTGTGACGTCTCCGTATCGTACACAGGCTGCTTTTGCTATTTCAATATCCAAGCAAATTCTCATTCATAAAGCTGACAACTCTATGGTTGCATGAATAATAAATAGGTAGCTTTGCTGATGAAATAGTATGGACGTAAATAGGTTTATTATCTTGGAGAAACACACTGTTGTACAGGCATTTTGAACAAAAATAATCATGGACCATAAAATAATAGATTGTAATTGCCTTCAACCTGGCCTTTTAACATCTTGTTAACAAGTAAGTAAGATAAGTAAGAAATGAATGTGTATTCTAAATCAAGTTTTGATATAACCGTGTGGTCAGGCTCCAAAGACCAAGTTGTTATTCAAACTAACAAATTACATCATTGCATAACTGCCAAACCACTGAGAACCATGGCGAGCCACGTGGACACCTTCACAGTCTTGTCTCACATGCTCCTTGTTGCCAGACATGGGTTATTATCCACAGAATAATCAGACAGTAGATCCTTTACTATTGTTGTAAACCAACTAGATAGCTGATAAGTAAAGAGTAAATGTACTGTTTCAGAGGGGTTTTAAGGTAATATTAAATGCAATTATACTGTAAGTTATTCATTTTTATGTTTCTGTATTTCAACAAAGCAATGATCATTGCATGATGTCCCACCAAAAA